CCCTCCCAAGTATTATCATTCCCTGGTAATCAAGCATTCGAACATATGAGCCTATGGGGACTATTCTCATTCAAACCACCACAGTTGACCCCTTCCCTTAGGTGATCTGTCCCAGCAGGCCCCAGGAAAGCATCCATGTCACCTGGGGTGAGTATAACATACACTAGATTGGTAAATTGTCATGTATTGTTTGGTCTCTCTGAAAAACTAACTCTGGGAGCAGGGCTGCACTCCCTCCCCCATTGCAAACCCAAGAACATTTCTCTCAAAATGTCCTTCAACACCCCTTCTCTGAAGGTAGGCTGGTCCCCCTAATTCCCGAAATAGAGAGGAGAATAGAGAATGACAGCTGCGCCCTGTACTCTCAACAGGGGCTCCTAATGTTTGTCCCGTGACATGAAAGCCCCGTAGCAGGAGGACGTTGTGCTAGCCACAGCAAGCTCAGCTGCAGGAGGTTTGGCTGTGTAGAGAAAGCTCAACCACGAAGGCCAGATGACTCCCTGGCCTTGCCCCATTGGTTTCTGCTGGATGCTGGGAACACCCAATTTAATGATGTTGTCTCTATCTGTTGCTGTTTGCTTTTTTACTTGGAAGTCTTAACATGGGAAAAGTTGGTCTGTCTGGGACCCTCTAGCCATCCAGAGCTCCAGTTGGCTGTGCTGGTTCCCAGGGCTTCCCCAGCTGGGTCTGCTGGTGGTGTAAGGGTCTGATCTGACGCTCTACTATGTTTTTGTGGCTTGCTGTTTTATCATTTTACGCCTGCTTGCTGCGTTCTTAATAAACTCAGTCCTATGAAACCAGAGATGTGGCTGTCTATTGTCTATAGAGAACAGACAAAGCAGAGGCCCCAGAGCCCGGGAAACATCTATGCCACTGTCCCACGAGAAGAGAAAGCTCAAATCTTGACAAGTCACAGGACAAGAAAAAGCCCCCAAAGTTTGTTGAATAAGTAAAGTTGAATAATTGTGCACATCAAATGGAAAGAAAAATGCAAATGGCTTATTATTTGTCACAAGTCATAATATTAGAAACGATGGCATTTAGATCGGCTTAATAGAAACAGTACTTGAAATGTAAATATTAGGATAGAGTTGTTGAAAATAGGGATGGTGAGATTGTTTCCTAGAGAAAAATGCCTTTCTGTCCTTTTTCATGGCGTCTCTAGGGATGACTACAGGCACTGTGTAAGTGCTGACCGGTGCACTGTTCTCTGGGTCACTCCAGGTTCCTCTATGGGAAAAGCATCGTGTTGGCATGAGTTGTGTCAGTGTGGGGTAGAGGATACAGACCTCGGTCAAAGTTCTACCACTATCACTTGGCTGCTGTGCCAGTCCCCACACAGAGCCATCACCACGACAGAAGCTGAAACAACAAGTCAGATCATGGGGCTCTTGCTTGCCGGTCTAACCCTGACCCATTCTTTGACACATATTTTGTATAGTGCCAGGGACGGGACTTAACGCATCACACATAAGTAACTCTACAACTGAGTTATGTTCCTAGTTCTTATGTCATTGCTTTTAATTTTTATTTCAGCAACCATATTTTTCACTGAGAATCTGTTGATGGGCTGGAGAGATGGTTCAGTGGTTCAGCGCATTTGCTGCCCTTCCAGAGGACCTGGGTTCAGTTCCCACAGCCCATGCCAGGTGAGTCACAACCACCTGGAACTCCAGTTCAAGGGGATCTAATGCCTCTGGCCTCTAATTCACATATTTAGAAAAAAACAAAAGAGAGGTCGGGTGGTGGTGGCACACACCTTTAATCTCAGCACTCGGGAGGCAGAGTCAGGAGGAAGTCTGTGAGTTCGAGGCCCAGGCCAGCCTGGTCTACGGGGCTAGTTCCAGGACAGCTAGGACTGTTACACAGAGAAACCTTGTCTTGAAAAGACCAAAATGATGATGATGATGATGATGATGATGATGATGATGATGATGATGATGATGATGATAAGTGCAAAATTTTTAAAAAAGAATCCATTGGGTTTTAAAATCCTCTCCCCCTGCTGGCACTTATTTCGGAGATGGCTTTGAATAACATGGTCAGACATTTGATAGCATGACCAACTTACTAGCTGGGCAGGCCGCTAGCAGACAGCATCTGGAAGAAAGGACTAAAACTTATCCCTCAAAAGGTCAGCTGAGCATGGGGGATCCAAGCTGGGAGTAACTCAGGCAGAACTCCACTCGTCTAAACCCCGCCCCCTCATTCTCCTCCTGCGGCTCCTGGCTGGAAATGAGCCTCCCCTTTTCTGTGGCTGCCTACCGCCCTCAGCTCCTTTCGCATCCTGCTTGAGCTCCATGGGAGTACCACCTGCTTTGCGCGGCCCGGTGCAAATGAAAAGCCCTTGTTAGAAAAGAGAATGTTTGAAATTCAAGCCATCCAAAATGCAGTACCCCACCGAGCACAGACTGCAGCCAGCTGGGAAGCCAGAGCAGACTGCACTTGTCTATACCAAAGGGAAACTGAGAGTGACACCAGGCAAACCATCCTTCAGGAGACCCTTGGGAGTCCTCCCAGGGAGGTCCTAAGGTGCCTTGTTCTGGCCTCCAGCATCTATGCCCACTTCTCTGGCCTCCTGAGTCCCCTCCAGCCGTTCGCACCGGGTGCACACAGTCTTGAGCCCTGCCTTGCTGGCTTCCTCGGGTAGGAAACCAACTGTTTTTGTTTTTTTTTTTTTTTTTTTATAAAAACTGCCGTCTCTATTTTGTCTTCTGATTCCTCCATTGCCAGAAGTTACCAACACAAGGTCTCTCTGGGACAGCAGGGATACAAAAACAAAGCGCATATATAGTGCCCCTCACTATTGCCTCCTGTGCTGTTGGTATTAGAGATGGTACCTGCCAGGGGCATTAAGTGCACTTCTTATTTAACGTTATAAACTCATCCATTCACTACTGCAATCACTCCTTTTACAGATGAGTAAGATGAGACTCAAAGAGTTTGAGCAGCCGGTCCCGAAGGGGATGAAACCCAAAGAGCCTTTATCCTTAGGCATTGCCTACCCTGCTTCTGACCTGGGATATATGAAGGCAAAGGCCACCTCTGTCTTTAGCGTTCTCCACATATTCTCTGTGTACTCTCCATACTGGAGCATTGGGACTATTAAGAACTCTCTATTGGTAGCCAACCCGGTGCCAGGCTTCACAGTGACCACTCTGCTAATGTGACCTCACAAAGTCCTTGGGTTATCTTTTCTAGCCCGGTTTTAGTACCATGTTTAACTCATGGAGAAACTGGAGCTTAGAAAGACTTAATCTCTCTAAATGGACAAATAGTGGAGAAGGGTTTAGATTTTGGTGTGCCTTTTGACTCCTTCTGGAGGCCCGTAGTCAAGCTCAGCTGCCTGTGGCCATGCCTCCCACACAGCTAATGTCTCCCCATCCTACTTGCCTTCACCTGCCTGCCACCGCCAGTGCCCGAGTCTCTGTCAGAATCTAGGTCCTGAGGTTCAACCTGCCACTTAGGCCTCAAATGGCTGGGCTTCTGGTTGTACAATCTCAGCACACAGAAAAGGTGCCCCGGCCCTGTGATCTGCACTTTCACTACGAGTTTTCTCTCCAGTGTCCTGCTGCTGATCAATGCTTGATAAGAACACATGCCATAGTGATGGCCCACCCTCTAAGTACAGTCAACAGATCAGACAGCAAGAAAAAAAAAACTGCTATGGGCCTTGCTAGATTTAGGACCAATGGGAGGCTTCCTCCACCTTACAATGCCAGCATTGATGTCTATCTTTTACCTGTACGTGTTCAAGAAGCCTAATCAAGGCAATACATATAGAGGAATGTCTAGGTTTTGACTTCAAGGGTCTTGTTAACCCTTTTGAGCATCCAGATAAACCTTTGGGCACCAGGAGAAACCCTTCTGGAATGGCGATTGACCAGCTTCCATCGATTCATCATTGAACAATACACTTCTCAAGACACAAGCCATGTCTGCTTGGCTATGTAACTGATCGATTCATAACCACAAGATGACTTATCTCACTGTTCAGACGCTGGTGTCAGTCTTGCCAATAGATTGCCAGTGATTAGATTGCCTCAGCACAGATTTAGGTGAGCAGCAAATGAAAGAGGAGAGAATGGAGCCTAGAGAGGGGAGCAGGTTGTAGCACGGGTGTTCTAGAGCCCAATGTGGAGAGCCGGCATTGAGTGTGTGTACCTGCGGCGGGAGAAAATGTGAGAGCCCTGGTGAGGTTTGCAATCAGGTTGGTGGGAAGGGAAAGCTCCCTCACAACTAGAGTGAGGAAACAAGAGAAAGTGTTGCTGGAGAGGGAAGTAAGTTCCTGCGTCTGGACAGTCTCCAGCAGACTCCAGACACCAGAGGGAATTCCTGGGTGGGAGGCTCTTCTGCCCCTCCCTGTGGGGTATGAGGCAGGCTGTGTGGTTACAAGATTGAGTAAGGAGGGAGAACTCTGCTCACTCCAGGGCTGTGTTCTTCTGGATTTCAGGCTGAGGGCAGGAACCTGTTCTCTGTGTCCTCGCTGTGGGCATCAGAGAGCCATGCTGCCAAGTATGTGGCAAAGGAATAAAAGTAGAAAGGGATCACACCTTCCAGCTGTGGTTCCTTGGCACACAGCACAGACAAATGTAAGAAAACGTTCTGAAGTTAGTCAGTGTGTGTTCAGAGACTGTCCCCTACAGTGAGCAGAATCTTGTGTCAACTCAATGATGAACAGACCCGCAGCAACCTCAACTGTCCACAGGATGAATTATTGAATGTCCAAACTCAACAAGGTGCCATGAGTTACTTGGTGTCGGTGGCCCCAGATAACCTTGAGGGGCGAGGCCACGGCTCTTCTGGGAGTCTTTATGTCCAACCCCCAGCAAGCACATTGCGAGGCTCATTCACACCTCTCTCCTGGTGAAGAGCGACAGTCACCTTGAAGATGGCAAAGGGTGAGGAAGAAGTCAGCAGGGGAGGAGGGTGTGTTGATCTTCACTGACTAGAAAGTTTTCCCTGGAAAACGTGTAACTAGAAACAGTGTAATCATTTACCTCTTGTTTACCTTCTAACCCACAGTTGAGACGATGTCAATGCCACCCAAATCATCAGTGAAGTTTGTAGAGGCTGTTTTTTTTTTTTTCTGAAAAAAAAAAAGATTCCTAAGTATTGTTTAACTAACTGAAATTATGCAGGCAAACTCAACCTCTTTTCCACTGTTAACCAAACTTCTTACGCTTTTATAGTCCTGCAGCCTCACCCTAGCCCAAAAGTCAAGCTGTGAAGTTGCTAGCTGATCCCTAGTGACCAAGAGTCAAGTTCCAGCTTCTGTTGGGATCTCCAGCCTTCTGACTAGGGGTTATTAGAGAAGCAACATGAGTGGGCTAAATCCAGGTTCTGCTATCTTGATGTGTTGGCAAGGTCAGGTTCTAGAACCTCCTTGAGTCTTTGCTTCCTCTGCTGTAAAGAAGGGAAAGTGGGAACAGTGCAGCTCTCTTGCAGTAAGGAAGGGAGGGTGGGAAC